TTCTAGAGTGGGTGCACCAGCTTGCATTCCCACCAACAGTGTAGGAGGGTTCCCCTTTCTCCACATCCTCGCCAACATCTGTCGTTTCCTGACTTGTTCATTTTAGCCATTCTGACTGGTGTGAGGTGGTATCTCATTGAGGTTTTGATTTGGATTTCCCTGATGCCGAGCGATGTTGAGCACTTTTTCATGTGTCTGCCGGCCATTTGGATGTCGTCTTTGGAAAAACGTCTGTTCAGGTCTTCTGCCCATTTCTTGATTGGATCCTTCGTTCTTTGGGTATTGAGTTTAATAAGTTCTTTATAGATTTTGGGTACTAGCCCTTTATCTGATATGTCATTTTCAAATATCTTCTCCCATTTTGTCAGTTGTCTTTTGGTTTTGTTGACTATTTCTTTTGCTGTGCAAAAGCTTTTTATCTTGATGAAGTCCCAATAGTTCATTTTTGCCCTTACTTCCCTTGCCTTTGGCTATGTTTCTAGGAAGAAGTTGGCTAATGGTCTTTTATCAGATGCCTCCTGAAAATATTTTCTCCCAGTCTGTGACTTGTCTTCTCATTTTCTTGACAGTATATTTTGTAGAGCAGAAGTGTTTGATTTTAAGGAGGTCCAGTTTACCCATTTTTTTCTTTCATGGGGTAGGCCTTTGGTGTTATATCTAAGAAGTCATTGCCATACCTAAGGTTATCTAAATTTTCTCCTACATTATCATCTAGAAATTTCATTGTTTTGTGTTTTACATTTAGGTCTATGATCCACTTTGAGTTAATGGTTGTGAAAGATATGAGGTCTGTGTCTAGATGCACTTTTGGGGCATGTAGATGTCCAGTTGTTCCAATACCATTTGTTGAAAAGACTATCTTTTTCTCCGTTGAATTGCCTTTATTTCTTTTTTTAAAGATTTTATTTATTTATTTATTTGAGAGAGAGAGAATGGAGAGAGAGAGAGCATATGAGAGGGGGGAGGGTCAGAGAGAGAAGCAGACGCCTGCTGGGCAGGGAGCCCGATGCGGGACTTGATCCCAGGACTCCAGGATCATGACCTGAGCCAAGGGCAGTTGCTTAACCAACTGAGCCACCCAGGTGCCCGCCTTTATTTCTTTATCAAAGTTTACATGACTATATCTGCAGGTGTCTACTTCTGGGTTCTCTATACTGTTCCATTGATCTATTTATCTATTCTTTTGCCAATATCACACACTCTTGATTACTGTAGCTTCATAGTAAGTCTTGAAGTCAGGTGGTGTCAGCCCCTGGACTTTGTTTCTCTCTTTCAATATTGTGTCAGCTATTCTGGGTATGGCTGAAGTTATTCACAGTTTGAATTAAATGAGAAACCCACAACCCCAAAAAGCTCAACAAAGCCAAAACTACAAGAAAAAACAATACTGAGGACATCATAATCAAACTTTTAAAAACTAGTTGTAAGGAAAAAAAAATCTTAAAAAGCAGCCAGAAGAAAAAAAGACAAAGAGGACCAAAGATAAAGATCAGATTTTATGTTTGAAACAATGTAAACTCAAACACAGCAACATCTTTAAAGTTCCAAAAAAAAAGTCATCTCGAGTTCTTTACCCGTGAAAAAATATTTCAAAAACAAAGGTGAAATAGACTTTTTCAGACGTACTAAGCTAAATGATCCATTACCAACATACCTGCATTCCAAGAAATTCACTAATGATTTTGTTTTACAATCACATCATATGTATTTCAAAATTGCTATCTTTATTTCTCAAGGAGGGGTTTTTGTCTACAGACATTACTTGTTAGAGATTTGTATCCCATGATCCTTTATATTAACACCAATGGCCCTCAGAGGCCCTGTGACCCACAGATTGAGAATCATTGTTTTGGAATATAAACTTCATAAAAAATGAAGATCTAATCCAACATCATGGAGTAGATGGATTAATTAGGATAAAGGCTGGGTTGTAATAATATCCCATTTACTTAAAATAATATCCCATTATTTAGGCCACTTAAATAGTGGCTTAAATAATATTGAACTTTATTTCCTTCTCATAAAACAACCCAGGCAGGAAGACCAGAGCAGTATGGCAGATCAGGTGGCAAGTTTCTGGCCATCCCCAATATATTGCCTTCCCCTTCATGGCCAAAGGTGATCCAACCAGTGGGAAAGGGGCAAGACAAAGGTGAGGGTGTGTTTCTTTCAAAAGCATGACCCAAAAGTTACAAATGTGTCTTTCAGTCATATCCTATTGGCTAGAGCCTGGTCACATGACCACACCCGGAAGCCAGGGAAGCTAGAAAATAGTCTTAATCTGGGCAACAATGTACACTCAGCTGAAATTTACATTACTGTGGGAAAAGGGTAGAATAAATATTGGGAAATGATTAACAGTCTCTGCCAAAGCAAGTTAGTGACAGAGTTAAAACTAGAAGAGGAAAAGTGCATTTGATTGGGAGTTACGAAATATGGTTTATAGTCCTGATTCAGCCGCTTACCCCATGATTAAACCAAATGTTTAGCCAATGCTTCACCTGAATTACCTTAACTATCTGCAACAGGGTTGGTAGTGATTTTTTTAAACTGTCCCTCTGGAGAGGGAAAAGGAAGACCAAAGACCTAGAAAGTTCCATCCTAATCTTTCAGTTAAGTCCTATTCCTTACCAGAGAGTGACCCTTTCAGGGATCATTAGCTGTATGTCTGCTATAGGGGACATAGTCTCAAAAATGAGGCCAGAGGCACAGCTCTGAACTCTGGGCTGAGGTTTGCCCAAACCCCAGCACAGTTCCTAGTCAAAAGCAGGATTATAAAAAAAAAAAAAAAAAAAAAGCAGGATTATACCAGATGGCACATGACAAAGTTCTCTACCTACAGTGAATGTCCCATTTTGATGCTCTCACCAATACTTTTCTTGCAGAAGTTCCAATGGATTGATACTGGGGGTGAAGAGGTGGGGTGTTATTTACCCAAAAATCTAAGCTGGTATGCTGGTTTCACTCTTCAGTATAAAATAAACCTCCTCTCTTCATTGAAGCCTTAATTTTGAAGGGAAAGGAAGTTAATTTTAATTAACAAAAGTTAATGCTATTAATTAAACATTTGTTCTATTTTCACATGCACACACAAATTTGCTTAAAGACATAACTATCACTGATGAGAATATAATAGGAGCTTTGTTTTGCTATGAGAGAGCACATCTGATGACAAGAATTAAAACAAAATTGGTCAAGATACTTAGTTGAGTACATCTAATTCCTCTTTCAGTATTACACGATACAGGGAATAAATGACTTCATTTTGCCAATAAAATTTAGTTTAAGCTTTCTTTAAATTTCTATCACCAGTAAAAATCAGACAAGTTTAATAATAATTTTTAAAACATCAGTTTTTTCAAAGTTTATTCTTACAGATTATCTAATTTCAATTTCCCAGCAATTCAAGGAAAAGTGATTTTTGTCTTAATGAGCTGAGCTTTGAAGAGATTTATATATATATAGCTCTTATTAAATACGTTGATAATAATAATAGCTTCAGCTCTACCTTAGCATCTTACTCAAGAACAGGTACCATAAGTATATATGATGCTGTCAAAGATGAGTCAGAAAATAAAAGGATTTCAGAGCAGTAGGAAACCATAATTATTTGTCTGGATGAATGGTAAAGCACTCATTTGCATTATGGTTCCCATTCACCAAAAGGAAGAAAGGCATTCTGCCTCACTTGCTCATGTTGGCTGAGAGCATAAAGAGCACTCAGAACATTAAAAATACATATTAAAAATATATATCAACAGTCCACTATAGTATTATTATATTGTATTATATCATATATTACATATATTATTCTATTAGATTAAGTTTGTATAAGTATGTTCATACATTAGCTAATACAAATGTATTGATATACATATATGTGTGTGTGTATATATATATATATATATATATATATATATGTGCCCTAAATGATCATTAATCTACTTTCTGTCTCTATATATTTCCCTATCCTAGACTTTTACAAAAATAGAATCATATAATATATGGACTTTTGTGGCCCGCTCTTTTCAATTAGCACGTTTTCAAGGTTCATCCAAGTTATGGTATGCACCAGTATTTCATTCCTTTTCACAGCCCAATAATATTCCATTATATGGATATAATACATTTTGTTTACTCATCCATTAACTGATGAACTGTTGAATTGTTTCCACCTTTTGACTATTCTGAATAATGCTGCCATAGATTTTTGTGTGCAAGTTTTTATGTGGACATAGGTTTTCATTTCTCTTGGATATATACTTTGGGGTAGAATTGCTGGGCCATCTGGTAACTCTATGCTTAATCATTTGAGGAACTGCTAGACTGTTTTCCAAAGCTGCTGCATCATTTTACATTCCCACCAGCAATGTATGAAGGTTCGTACTTCTCCACATCCTTGCCTGGATTTTAACTTTAAGCAATATTGCTTTGCTTAGAATGGTGAAACAGAAGGAGAGGAGAGCAACACCCTGATGACCTATCAGAAGCCATATCATCTCTGGACTACTTTCCAATTTCCTTAATGTGAGAAAAAATAAACCTTTACCTTATTTAATCCACTGCTATTCTGGGTCTCTGTTAATGACAGCCTAACACAATTCCTAATTCTTGTGGTTCTGTTAGTACATCTTGAACCTTGGAACCCCTCAAAAAAATCATTAACTTGAATATGTAATGATTGTTTCTGTGGAAAAGTTTTCTTGTCATCCTGTTACATTCTGGAAAATGTACATTACTGTATAGCTTCCTTAATTTCAGATGCCATCATTCAATAACCATTCTCTTCTTAGAAATTGTTTCAGGTTCTCGGGGCACCTGGGTGGCTCAGTCTGTTAAGCGCCTGCCTTCAGCTCAGGTCATCATCCCGGGGTCCTGAGATGGGGCCACATATTGCATCGGGCTCTCTGCTCAGTGGGGAGTCTGCTTCTCCCTCCCCCTCTCTCTAATAAATAAAATCTTTTTTAAAATAACAGAAATTGTTTCAAGTTCTCAACACCCTGTGGGTGCTTTGTAAGATTGAAACAACTTGATATCCAGAAACAAACAGAAGTTTATAGATGGAGCAATTTTTTAAATGGGAAGGAAAAGCCTTCACTGTGGTGACGTAGAATGAGCATGAGTTTATTATTTCCTTTCTGAAATATCCTAATGTTAGGACAACACTAATAATGATAACAAGTCATTTAAAGATTTACCTTAAACTCTCTGGGAGCCCAAGGAATTTCAGTGCCATGTTGACCAGATAGGGCTTGTATCACTTATCTGTTCACTGTTAGACATTGTCTTCGAAGCCACTTTCAGCATCCATGATGTTTCACCAAGTTTTCACCTTGGCCTTTAGAAAAGTAAAAGGAAACCTGAGTAATTAGTTACATAAAGCAGTTTTCTTGCTCATTTCCCCTAGTGCTTGTGTTCCAATTATCTGCATTTTGAGGAGATATTGTGAACACACCATCAACCTGCCATTCTACTGGCTCTCTTGTAACGAATTTAAGTATCTTCTACAAAGCCAGCCTTTGATAAATAGAGTTCCTAATACATTTTCATGTAACTAGTAAATCACCACTGGTGGAAAGAACATTTCAGAGTCAGGAAATTTTGTGATCTATTTCTCAGCGTTTCAAACAACTGATTGATACATTCACCCAACATTCAAGAAGTCTTTGTTGCTCATCTTAAAAGTTTTGTATTTTCCCTTTTTCCTTCTTACAAAGAGCAAAAATAATTTGGCTTGTATTGTGAACAGGTCACCTTGAATGCTTCTTATAAAAGCCAAATATATAGGAGCAACGTTTTTCTCTTCCAAACTTTGTCTTGAATCTCAGCTTTTCAACAAATTGCTATTTTGTAGACCATATTAATTCATTATTTATTTGTAAACATTTATTAAGAACTTGATGTTTGCTCAGCTTTCTATTTTCTGCTATATTAGGATAGGCTCAAATGACAACTATGACAAACAAAATCCCCAAAGAGTATATCCGAAGAATAATGTCAACTTTTAAGGTTATATAAATTTCTGTAGCTGTACCATCTTGCAAACTTTCTATTAAAATGTCAATGACACCTAAACTTTTTCTGTATCCATTTTGGCTAGGCACCTTTCTATCTTGAGATTAAGCTAAACCTCTCATGGTTCAGACAACCCTGGATTCAAACCCCTGCTCATATCCTATCAGCTAAATGCCTTAAAGACACTCTGGGCAGTGTCTTCATCTGTAAAATAGGGATAATAATTTTACCTACAGCACTGGGTTACAGTAAGAAATAAATGTGAAGTATACAGCATATGCCTGGCACATAGCAAGCAGCCCATTCATGTTAGCTGTGGATTTCATATTTGTTTGCATCGTTGCTCAATAACCATCTTTCATTCCACTCTGTTAAATTGTTTCAACCAGTGACTATTCTATGAACTTATTTATAAATACATAACATAATCAGGGATTGAGTCATAGTACATTGGGATTGCTTTTTAGCATAGATCATTTTAGGAAGCACCTATTCCAACACCTTCTCTTTGTGATCACCACAAGGTGCTCTAAAAGCAAGAGTTTGGTTTTTTCGTGATGATAAGATAAAATTACTATAAGCGTCAATAATTTAGGATTAAAAGATACATGACTGTATGGGGAATAAAAAATATATATACATATACATACACAGTTGTTGTTGTTGTTGTTGTTTGACACAGCCTTTTTCCTTTAAGCTCAAAGTTAATTTCCAGACACAGGCCTCTGTAACTTTTCTTAGCACGGAAGTCATGAAGTCTCCTCTTTCCTAAAGCCACAGAAATCTTACGTGGAAGCAAGGAGGACGCACCACGCACAGCACGGAGGGAACCCTGGAGCGCTCGCTGCGGCTCCCACCTGTCGGCCAGGTCATTATGACGTAAATGCTATGGACACGTGGAATACCTGCGGGAGAGCAGGGGTGGGGTCACCCTGGGCGGCAGATTGAAACGGGGGATACCCAGGAGATGGGGGTCGAGGAAAGTCCCCAGGGAGGAGAGAGAGAGAGGGAGGCTCAGTCCCCCCATCCCGGACCCGCCCCCCAAAAGGTGAGGCCTTCGCCCCCTCGCTCCTCCGGGTGCCCGGGTCCTGGTGGGAGGGGTCGCCCCGCCGGGCGTCTCCTGAGGAGAGAGGAAGGGAGAGGAGGCGGCGGCGCCCGGGCCGCGGGCGTTTGCGGGGAGGCAAGGCCGCCCGCTCCCCCCGGCCACTGCGCTGCGCTGCGGCGCGCACGGGCTCCGCCGGCTGCTATTCCGGCTGGCGGCGACCGCCGCAGGAAGGGCCGGTTCCTGCGCTCCCCCCGCCCCCTTCCCTCGCCTTCTGCTGACGCTGACGTCGGATGAGGGAGCTGGAGGGACGCTCCGACCGCGGCCAGGAGGCTCCTGGGGGCCGGCGCTCCGAGGTACCTGCCCTCCGGGGTCGGGGCGGGGGCGCGCCGGGCGGGCTGCAGGCTGCAGCGGGAGACGCCCGGTAGCCGCGGCGG